CATTCGAATGTGGATTTTTATTTTAAATTCGACGAATATTCGGAAAAAAAATTTGACAGCCCTACTTGGTATTGAGAAACGTCCCTGGACTGGGAGGAGCAGTCCAGCACAGTCCTATGTCACCAGACTATTTGCCTAATCTTCACGATACTTTAGATCGCGATGAAAAAGCAGACAGTAACAGGTCTGGGGGAAACAAGTTCCTGGGACATTGTTCCAAGTAATTTCGGTGGAAAAGCTACTTTTATTTTTGGGTGAACTTCCTTTAAATGAGCAGAATTCACACTGACCTCCTGCAAGCAGAAATCATCTGTGTGTTGTTGATCGTGTCACTCACCACTAGTAAAGCCACGAGGGCTCCTTGTATGAGTCCTGTGAGTACATCACTCCAGTGGTGTTTGTAGTCTGAGACACGGGACAGTCCCGTATAGACGGAGGCGGCGATCAGGAAGAACTGGAGCGTGGGGCGAAGGAGCCGTGCCCATTCGGCTTGCATTCTTGCTTGAAGATAAAGCTATGAGAAAGGAAAAGACTGTTCAAACTCATTGTTTGTGAGAGAGGTTTAACTCATACAGCATGTGACGACTTCACTAACACACGGTCATGTTGTGTTTTCGTGTTACTACAGATCCCATGCTACCTAATTCTTCCTCGGTTTACGACGTGGCTTTTTTTCCATGTTATCTCCTGCCCGAGGGAATGTACCAGACTTGTACAGACTTCCTTTCACAGGAACCAACCGAAGTTAATTTAGTCGACACTACACTGGGCCTCTGTGAAATGTGAATTATGCTTAAATATTAATCATTATGCTATCACCTTACAGGTCTTGTTGTCAAAATCATTACTCATTTAAAGGTTTGAAGGAGTGATCTGAGTAGAACGATAGTTTCCAACAAGGAATCGATGTGGGCAAAACAAGGTCTGTTTAACTTCCACTACATGTAGACGTGTGCTTGTGCAACAGTATGAAACCCTAAAATCAAAGCTGACATTTGTTTGGAAACTCTGTAAACACAAACAAAGAATTACTTTGACAAGCTGATGGGAAGAAATCCTAACGCTCAACCCCACGCTGGGCAAAGATTCCCAGAAATCATTGGGAGTCCCTAAAAATACCACCTCCAAAAAGTGCACACAAACTCAAGAATCATTGCTAGGTTATATTTCTGGTTAATGCTTGTAATCTTATCTGAATTTAAACAGTCTATTTCAGGATTAAGAGTCAAATACTTTTGATAGGGAAGCGGTTTAAAAAAATAATTCAATGTTGTCTTTGAGTTTCACTGAACATTGACCCCAGGTCTGATTATTTCAGGGTTCAAATGTGCTGTGAACTTTAGCCGCATGTCCTTAAAGCTTGTACTCTCATGATAAGATTATGGTAGGTTGTGTTTGCTAACAAGGCTGTAATGGAGAAGTTCAGCGGAATGAACTCCTTAAGATTACTCCGCTGAATCAATATACCCCAGCCTGACAGATAATGGGTATTTTCCAATGGAAAAATCAATTAAGTAAAACGTATAAATCTACAAACATTTATCCTAGTCACTCAGTAACAATGATGGTATTTAACGGACCAGTTTGAGTCTGGTTTGTTATTGGATTATGTAATGCTGATTGTAGTTAAATTATTACCCGATTAACTAAGAACATAAGTACTTCATTCAGTGTGAAAATACCTTTATACACTTGGGAACAAACTTTGAATGAAAAGGATAAAAATAAAAAATGTTATTTATTCACCCTCATGTCCTTCCAAAACTATAATAGTAAGGTAGTTAAGTTTATGTATTGGGTAGGATTAGGGATATAGAATATGGTCATGCAGAATAT